TGTTAACACCCGCGCTGCAAGAAGGAGAGATACCGCCGCTCGTTCCTACCGACTGCTGTCAGGCTGCTGAATAAAAAATAAAATGATGTGAAAAACAATTGTAAATAGCACAGCCACCTTATCTACATCTATATTTATATTGCACTTAATTGAACGGTGTACATTTATTTTGTAAATGCAAACACTTTGTTTTTCTTCTTTCTTTTTCTACCCACAATCTTGCTGCTGTAGACTGTAAATTTCCCCAGTGTGGAACAAATAAAGGATATCTTAATCTTAAATACTCATAAGCCAAACTACATCAAGAGCGAGCAGAGCAGCAAACCGGACTGCCGAGAGAAAAGGGACCGGGCTTTGACTCAGCATAATCATAAAACAAAACAAAAGCAAGCACACACATACGCCAATCGCACTTTCCTCAAAAGGGATTCTCCACCTGCCGGCTTTACCGTGCCCTCCAGACAAGGCGGCCGAGAACAGCGATGGCCCATACACGCTAGCAGACTGCAGCATCCCTTAGCCGGCAGGAAGATGCAGAAGGAGGAGAAGGAGGAGGAGGAGGAGGGTTTGCCTCATCTCATCTGCTCGCGTCTGGAACAAAGACTGGGCAAGCCCGACTCAACAGAGCACGCCCCGTTTTTCTCTCTTAACCCTTTAAACACCCACTATTAGGCTACAAATTACAAAAGCACACACACACGCGCGCGAGCAGCGCATTTCAATTGCATCTACAGGGGATGAGTGAAATAAAACAGTGGTTTGAACTGTTTATGTCAAGTACTACTGAAAAAAAATACTTAGCGTGTTCACTATGAATGCAAATGTGACAATACAGTAGCATGGCAGGCCTAGGTGTCCATCAAAAACAAGGCCAAGACTTAACAATGAACCCCGATATTCATGGGGGCTGAAGACCAAGCCCGACCCCGAATAATGAAAGTCTACGATTAATCGACACTCCCTTATAACTGTCACGAAAGGAAAAACCTGGAGAGAAAAAAAAAAAAAAGGTCGGAAAAAAGTGACTGCATTCAGAGAAACTATGCACGCACCGTTTGAAAATGTCATTCGGTGATTCTTCACAAACCACGAGAGAGAGCCCGCGTGCTGCCCCTAACTTGCAGCTAGGCTCGGGGAAGATCTGCCACTTTCAAGCCACGGTCGGACGACGCTATCTGAAACACCTTTATGACTAAAGCCAAGGAAAGTCGTGCCGTGGTGTTAGCGACAATTTGCGCTAGCTAACTAGCTAACAGCGTTTGCTTCCGAAAAGCGGCACGTACTCAAATGTTCAGCAAAAAGCTGTCAACGATTGACTGGCGACCATTCCACAGCCGGAATAGACTGCCGCCCAGCCACGATCCAAATGAGGACAAACACTCTGGACAAACGGATGCACGCGGAGTTGGGCGTGGCAGGCGCCGCCGCCATCTCGCGTGCGAGCACGCACCTTGTGACAGAAGTGCTGCGTGGTGATGGAAAAGACGCTCATGCACAGCGAGGCCTTCTTCAGCTGCGCCTGCAGGCTGTGCAGCTGGCGGGCCTGCTGCTCGCAGCGTTCCCTCAGCAGCTTGATGAGCGCCCGGTCCACTTCCTGCGACGACCCGCACCGCCCGCGCACTGCAGCAATACGGGACGGAGAATTGGTTTCACTTGCAAAGGCCACTGATTCATAACCGCTGCTGCCGAGTGAGATCATCCGGTGTGCAACGGGAAATTATATCATATCTTACACATAACGTATTTGAGTCCAGTCTTTAGATGTCGGTGTAGTGACAGATAGAACTATGAAACACTCTTCCTTTAAAAGAGAAGTCAAGTCAAAAAAAATGTTCTTTACAACAATATCTTCTATTCGCAAGTTGAGCCCTTCGGCACTGTGATGTCATTTTCAGTCAACAGCAAGTGGCAGTACGAGACAAAATGGCCGCCTGCTGCAATGAATTAAAAACATGTCGATTTTGCTGTGTGGGGGCAAGAAGTTGGTTTGACTTGAGTTGACTTTGAATAACTAATCCAGTTTTTTTCCGATGAGCGTTTACAACATCGTTCCTAAAATACGAGCCCCTACAAAATAGCTGTGATGGCAAAATAAAGATGGTTAGGTTTTCTGAAAGAAATTCACAGCTCAAAGTGTTTGGGACCACGATCATAATTTGAGAGGGTGGGAGGGGGGTGGTCCTAATGTAAATTGTAATTCGGACCTACTGTTCGCTACGTGAAGGCTGACGTGTGTTGCACCCAAGTCATGCAGCAAGGATGACTGCCGGTTGCTATGGCAACAGCGGGCGGGCAGGCCGCCTGGCTCTGGTAATAAAGTGCATCCCCAAGATGGATGGTGATGGAAAAACTGGCTACGAGTCGCTTGTACGGACCAATGAATGTACAACCCCCCCCCCCCACACACACACACACACACACAATACGTGATACAGACAGTCAATGCTGCACACACACGCTGTATATAGTCGAGTGCAACGCGATCAGCAAGGACTCACCAGGGGATTGAGGCTTGGGCGAAACCACTGCACATTTTTTGGGGGAGGCCGCCTCTGATTCCTTCAGTGTCTCTTTTCTCCAAGCTGTGATGTGAACGAAACAAACAACAAAAAAAAACCAATGTACGCAAATCAATGACTTTTGGGGTTTTGGAATTGAAAATGGCGTTTCTAGATTTTAACAGAAAGACTCTGCTACATTCAGATCCGGGGAAAAAAACAAAAACAACAAAAATTTTGAACCGCGTTACATTTGAAATGTGACGTCGTGGAATTCCTTGGGGCTGGGGAGAAACAAATTCAGATCCGGGGAAAAAAACAAAAACAACAAAAAATTTGAACCGCGTTACATTTGAAATATGACGTCGTGGAATTCCTTGGGGGAGGGGGGGGGGGAGAAACAAAGTTTCCGTTATACCATCTCTGACCACTGAGGGGCGCTAACTCACAAACACTCCGTTAGTGTCATGCAAGGTTTATACAAAACTGGTTTTCTCATATTCTCTTATTGCTATGGATTATATCAATACTCTCAAGTGAGAGAGAGTCAAGTGTACTGACGGAAATTATCCAATTTCACTTACTTTTTCCTGGGAATAATAAATAGTCAGCGTGAAATAAAGTACCGGTATGTATACAATCAAACCATAATGAACATATTTTTACAATTTACAAGAGTAATGTTACAAGAAGAAAGAAGTGCAAATAATATGAGGAAAACAACATCAGCTTTTCTTATGAATGTTGTTTTATTATAGGGGGTAGAGGGTGGGGGGGACACACAAAATGTTTCAAGGATGAATGTTTATTTCGGAACGGTTAAAGATGGAATGTTACATGAAAAAATTATTTTCTTAATGGGTGTTAAAAACATCCTTTTTTATTTTAGGAAAGAACTTTACAATAATTAATTCACCTTTTCAAAAGTTAATGAAAAAAAATGTAATCTGATTTTTTTTTTAGGACAAAAGTGTGATGTTACATGAACCCATTTGTATGTTTAGGAAAGTACTGATTACTGTATATTCAATTATATTCATTTTAGGTTGGCGCACATTTAATTTAATTTCACAACTCAATTCACAAGTGCTACTTTTGCATTGTAATAATAATGACAACCACGTCTACAAGTCATCGCTGCTGACGAGATGTTTTTCACCCAAATTCATCGGCAGGTGAACAAAAGCATCGTAATTATTCATCACATCTGTCAAGTTTCATTAGCGAGAACATGTTAAATTATTAACAATGTCATAAAACGCTGGAGGCCCAACGTGTGTGCTCCCTGCAACAATCCAGCAGGGAGCGCCCGCTGTGCAGCCAGGATTTTTTTTTTTCTTCTGCTGAGTATAATTGGAAGTGGGCCGAGAGTCTCGAAATGGAGTCGACGAGAGAAACGCCACATGCTGCTCAGTCTTTTTTTTTTTTTGGTCACAAATTATTTTCCATGCCCATTCCCTAAAAACAATCCCTCTTTGTCCCAATTACGCTCCAAATTTTGCCTAACTGCGCTGATTTCAAGCAGCCCAAAGGCCTACTAACAATAGTTCGACGATTAGCGAGACAAACTGGGCCAGTTTAAACTGTTTTCTTTTGACCCGCTTTTACATTTCATTTGATTTATGACCATTTGGGGTAAGCACAGCATTTTAGCATCAGCTAAAATGGTAAACGTCAAATGGCTTACCTGTATAGTATCACATGTGCCAACTAGAGTTGGATATTTGAGAAATGTAAATTTGAAAGTTATTTGCCAATATTAGTTTCACAAGCGATATAGCTATCACATTAATTGCCAGCTCTGATGAGCAATAACAATAGCGCCCTATGAGTGCTCGCTAACATTTGCTTTAGCTATAAATGACATCACTTGTAAGCTACTATTGGCGTAAGCTATACAGTATAGTTCAACACAAAATGAAGTTTGCTAAAGCTATCAAATCATTTGTTAGCCGCTACGATTTTGGCACATTATAGCTGTAACTTATCAACATCTATACCAGGTTGACATTTGTCATAATTAGCGAATCAGAGGTGCATCTCAAAGGTAAGGGTCCTTTTAAAACCCACAAAGACAGGAATACATTTGCTTCGCACTTTAGCTCACTGATGCCATGGTCAAACATTATCTCAACTTCATGACGTGAGATGGTTTGGGACCATTTAAAAACTAATCGTGGGTGGTTTAAGACAAGCAGCAATGGGGATGGCAAAGTGGCTGATGTCCAAAGGTTTGTAGGAATTATGCCACAGTCAGTTGGGACTTGACACTTGTGAGTGGGACATATATGTGACTTCCTTTACCCTCTGGCTAATAGCAGCTTGAAGGGGAAGTCAACACCAAATTATTCATTGTGATTGTGGCGTATGAGTTAAACAGTAAAATCCAGCTGTTTTTGTCCATCTCAGGGGGCGGCCATTTTGCCACTTGCTGTCGACTGAAAATGACATCACAGTTGCTCGGGGCTCAGGTAACAAACAATCATAGTTCAGCAAATTTAGGACTTCCCTTTCAGGCTAGAGCTCTAACCACGGCTAAAGTTGACAAAAGTGAAAACACATCATGACTCCGTCTTAAATGTGGCAGTTTTTGAACAGGTAGGAACTTACTCTGTGTTGTTCGGCAAGTATTGCTGTCATTAGACATGGACGACACGCTCCTCATGATGCCCCCAGTCGTCACTCTGACGGGAGGAAGGGCAGAGAATCCCGGAGGACGGAGGCCAGACTGGCCTGATTTCAGCAAAAGGTTCCTGGGGGAGGTTTCCGGACCTGACCTCCTTTGCTCCCCTACAAGGACAGAGGGCAAAAATGCTGAAAGTAGCAGCCGGTGAGCCACCAAAGACACCTTGAAAGCTTCTCACCTGAAGCTTCCAGGGAGCCGTGAGCTCCGTGTTGGCCGAGCATCGCCGATGACGACTTTGGACCGGTTTGCTGAACTCGTGTTTTTGCTGTGGGTTGTCGGGTGACAGCGCCCAGGCCCAGCTGAGGCCTTGCGCATCTTGGGGAGCGGTAGACGCTGGCTCCATCGTGAGAGGTGTGCTGCGAAGCGATTGCAGAACTTCGATTTAACCACGATCGAGCTCGAGTTATAACCCGAACCCTGAGTGAAATGATGAGAATCCGTCTGACTTGAGGGGCAAAGGGTCTAGCCCACAGGTGTCAAACTCAAGGTCCGGGGGCCAGATCCGGCTCACCACCTGGTTTTATGTTGCCCGCAACAGCAAATCAAACATGTCAAGTTCCATGATGCAAACTAAAATCTGGACCAAAATTCAAAATTCTTATCTGTCATAAATAAGAAGGATACTGCAAGCATTTTCTTGCAACCAAGCCTGTCACGGCAGTAACTTAATAGTGGAGTAAATCGTTAAAATTGACTTCTTTATATGGTTTCAGTCAGAATGGCCCTCCAAGAGAAACGGAAACCAAAATATGGCCCGCGAAAAAAATGAGTTTGACATCCCTGCTCTAGCCCAACCCAGGACTGACTGTAAACAAGGTCTTACCTCTTGGAGACATTTCCCAGGGATGTCATCGTGAGGAGCGCTGCCGGCTCCAGGTTTCAACCCAGTGGAACAATGTCCAAACGTGTCCTCCCTGTACTTGTCAAGGATGGAAGAGCCGAGCACCGGTGAGCCTTTCGAGAGAGCACCCACCTTCAGATCCGCATGAGCCGGCGTACTAGAGTTGGAGGACTGTTTTGAGTGGTGCATGGTGCCTTCAGGCGGCGTGTCGGTTCCTCGCAATTTTCCTGCAGGACTCTTGCGTATGCAGGTGATGATTTTCGGACGCACATTTTGGGGCTTGGGCGGAGAAGAGGACCTCCTGGTGTCAGAGTCTTTCTGCAAAGGACCGACAGGTTTGGGGATCGCACTAGCCAGGCTGGTCTTGGGCACCCGGGCGCTTTGCCCCTTGGCTGGAGAAGCAGGGGGTTGCTTCCTGGGGGACGCCGGCGTCACCGGGCGACTGGAGCTTCCCCACGGCTTCCTTCCCTCCAGACTGGAGGAACGGGAGACGTTCTCGAAGGAGTTCTTTGCGGAATTTTTGGTGTAATTTTCAAAGGACAGCTGCTTCTTGAAGCTCCTCTCGAAGGAGTTCTGTTTTTTCAAGGAGTTATCAAAGGAGCCTTGGTTCTTGACAGCTTTGGGCTGTGCGAATTTCATTTTGCGAGGGCTCCCGCTCTCGTCCGCTTGTGCGTTTTGATCAGTTGTAATGTTTCGGACGGGTGGCGTCTTGTGAATAGCGGCTCTCTTTGTGGCTTTATTCTTCTGGTTATTGTTCCTGTTGCGTTCATGGGCTTCTGACGCGAGATCCTTGGTGGAGTTCAAGTTGAGATCCACCCAGGACTCGAGAAATTTCTCTCCGTTTTCAGTCCGGGAAGGCGAGGGCCTGCCCTGGTTGTCCACGTGGGTCTCAGTTTCTGGCTCTGTTGCAGTCCTGCTACTTGAAGGCGGCTGATCCTTGCTGCGCTCCCTCAGCCCAACAAAATCCTCTCCGTCCTCCACCAGGTAGGCCTCCAGCTCCTGACACTCCAGCATCTCGAACTCCGCCAACTCGGGGTCGTCGCACTGGGAGTCCGTTCCCCAGATAACCACCTTGTCGCGCTCGGACACGGCGTCGCTTCCGGCTGACCTGCCGACACTGCCGGCCTCATCATCTGCCCCGACGTCGTTGGCGTTCCCATCGGCCGGCGCGTCTTTCGCCACGTTGTCGTTCCTCAGCGGCACCGCTCTCTCGCACATTTTGGACTCGGCAGTTAGTCGGCCTCAGGAAGGGCGGGTTTACCTCTATGTGGTTCAACACAGTTGAGGGACCATCATTCCCAGCTCAGGACCTGATCCTGTAAAAATAGATCAAGTTACCTACTCTTGCGCAATTTGTGATTTTGCCCTTGAATCGTGAATCTTTAGTTTATCTGGTTAAGCACATTTCCCCCCCTTTCATTATTAGACCGTGGTACATCTAGATGTACATTTAGAAACAAACACACTGCCTTGTCTTTATTCCGGATGATGCTCGGCGCGGGAAGATAACAGCCCCGATGCGACGCCTTCGCAGCACCGTGGGAGACGCGGGAAATTTATGTTCTCCTCCACACGCTTCCGACGCCTTCGCAGCACCGTGGGAGACGCGGGAAATTCGCCTGAACACATTTCCACCTCCGCCGCCCCTCCCCCTCCCGGCTCCTTATTGTTGAGCAGGTCATTCTGCCACCTGCCTGCGAAAAAAAAATCTACTCCTTCTTGCTCTGCTTATGCAACCTGAGAGCTTCTACTTGCAATTACGTGCTATAAAGCTGCTCTGTGCAAAAAACATTTGGCTTTATGGATGATTTTGTGGCTTCACGTGAGCCCGGAAGCCTCATAAAATATTAAAGCTGGAAATGGAGGACACACTTTGGTTTTTGATGCTCCGCTGGCCCCGCCTTCTTGTCAGCTTGGAGATGTGAGGCGGAATATTACGATTATTACAAAAAGCCCCACAGTACAGTATTTTCAGGTCCCCCGCCACAAAAAAAAACAAACCTAAAATACCATGTGAGCACAAGTCACTTTGCAAAAGTATCCCTCCCCCACCACCCATTTTTTTTAACATAAAGATTTTTAGTTATGCAATGTAGAAACAAAAACAAAGGTGAGACGAGCTACCTTCGCAGAAGCAACATTCACACCACCATCTTCATCCTCACCTGCAAGCTCACCTCAAATCGTCATTTTAGCACCAATAAATCACCGAGGTAGACATGGAAAGTTCACACCGCGCATCTCGAGGAAAAGCATCAGTTGATCATAATCGTGATGAGAAAGACACGCAGCCTGCAGCATCCCGCCGGAAAAAAAATAACACGCAGGGAGGAAGAGGAGGAAGAGGAGGGGGATGCAACGCCCACGTTCTCACGGTCGCCCTCTGGTGCTCGTTTGTGGAAACAATTCCCTGCACGTAATGCGTGGATCAAAGTCGATAAACTGATCAAAATTGGTCAGTTGGTGTGCTCATTTATTTTTGACCTCCAATTAGTGTCTAAATATTCAGTGGTATCTGTGCTGTTTTTATGGCTCAGCTTCAGATAACAGGTGAGCCGCGATGGGTCTTTACCTGAGCCCTGCGCAACTGTGACGTCATTTAAGTCGTTAGCAAAATGGCCACGCCCCCAGAGGATTTCTAAAAACGGTGTGGATTTTACTCCTTCACTCATATTCCACAAACGCAATCAGAATGCCCTGTTTAGACTAATGGTGCTACATAGAACATATCGTAAAAATAAAAATGGGTTGACTACCTTTCAGCCAAGTCGGGGCAAAGGAGGGCCCCGCTTGAACAGAATCTGCCTAGCAGCATGTGACTTCTTGGAGCACATCCAATTCTTTTTTCTACGTTGCACCGTTATGAAGCTGTTGAAATTTGATGAATCACTTCTAAAGTACATATTTTGTTCACATGGAATATGTAATTATAAAATATATAAATACAAACATTCGAGGTAAAAAATGGTAAGTAAACGGAACTAAAATATGACTGAGCAATACAAACGATAAAATATTTTTTAAAAAAGTAAATATTTGAAAAATAGGTGATTACAATACATCTCAAAATATAGAGTGGCACTTGCTCACTTCACAATACAGTATTCACAAAATTTGAATGCTATAACTCAGGCAGACCTTCACCAAGGCCCAAAATATCAAATGCATATGCCTTCATGTATGCACTCACAAATGGCTGAATGTTTTCATTAAACCCGATGTATTCATTGCTAAAAATTGTAAAAAAAAAAAAAAAATCAAATCAAATAAAATCATTACTCATGGTCACCCCCTCCACCCAAGTAGAAGAGAACTCTGCTAAGTTAAAAAAAAATGAACACAGGTTGTTATGTAAGAGAAAATATGTACAACAGATGGTCTGTTAAAAAGGGTGTCTAAAGATAGAAAAAAAAGTGCTTTGTTTCGGCTGCTGTCCTCCAAAAAGTTTGTCAGCTGCCTTCTGCTTCACGTCTATTCTGTTTGTTTGACCAGACCGGTCATCAAATCACAACTCATCCCCTCGACCATCCAGTTTGCATTCGTACACCTTGTTCCACTCTGCCAGCGCGCTGTTACGGATGCCGTAGCCGAAGTAGACGAGGATACCTGCAAAAGAACATTTACAAGAATTCTTTAGTGTGTCCATCCTGTCAACCCTCCTTGACCCTTTTCTGCTATTTGGGATAAAGGTTTTCTTATCTTATCTTAAGCTAACTTGGAAACGGACATGGTGGGACTGTTGGTAGTTTTGGAGTTGCAAGGTCAGCATAGCAACAAGCTAACAAAGCTGGCAAAGTAACTGTATATTTGCCATTAGCAGAACACCGCTTGAATAATTTGCTCCGATCGTAATCTGTAAAAGGCAATTGGAACATTGGCAGTGTTCCTGGCAGCTCTCACTGTCCTTTTTCTGATGACAAAAAATGGGTTTTTGGAGTTGTGAATTGTGACTGCCAGCAAGTGGCCTGAATTGTCCATGAGGGCAGCTCGCTGGTCATTCACTAAAATATTATTATAATCAACAAATATACAAATGGCAATCAAATGTTTCATCCTGCACCATAATAATTAGCACCTACAGCCACGTGTCATGACAACAAGAATCGATAGCCACATGTTATACAACCACAACTCTCAGCAATAAGCACCTATAGCTAGGTGGCATAACAATAAGCACCTATAGCACATGTAGTAACACTTAAAGCCACGTGTTGCCACCTAGTGGCGCTTCATAACCTCGTGTCATAATAAGCACCTATAGCTACCTGTCATAATAGACACTTATAAAAACATGCCATAACAATAAGCACCTGTCGCCACATGTCAACAATGCAAACCTACAATCCTGTGTCATAACAGTAAGCACCAATAGCCACATGACCTACCCATAAGCACCTACACATATCATAACGATAAGCATTTATAACCACGTGTCATAATAATAAGCACCTGTAGCCACGTGTTATAACAATGTCATTTCATGTGTCTTCACAATAGACAATAGCCATGTCATAAGAGCGATCAACTTTAGCCGTGTGTCATAACAAACACCTACACCCACGTTTCATAACAATATGCACCTATAGTGGTGTGCCATAACAATAAACACCTATAGCCACAGGTCATAATAACAACCTATGTGTTATATGAGGACCGACAGTCATGTTGTCATAACAATAAGCACCTCCAGCCATCTGTCATAACAAGAAGCACCTGTAGCCATTTGTTACAATGATAACCATTTAAAGCCATGTGTCATAACAATAAGCACCTATAGCCATGCAGGTGGTGTAGTGCACCCATGGTCCTGACAGGAGCTGCGTCATCAGGTACGTATTGATCAGCATGCTCACCAGTGGGATCAAGGGCACCAGAGGGACCTACAAGTAGACACCAAGCACGTTAACCGGGATTACAACTCAAATGTTCTCCGAAGAGTTGAAAAGGGAAGTGAAGAAATGTTCACTTTGAAGGTGAGCTTGGTCTTGTTCTGTGGTTGTCTCCACACCACAGCGGTGACGCCCACGCATGCCGTAATGATGGCGCCCAGGAGGATTGGACGCCACGCAGCTTTCCAGCCCGTGACCGCCACCGAGCTGAACAGGAACGCCAAAACCACTGCCAGACCAAAACCCAACTCAAGAAGCTATTTTATGAGTACTACACAACATTCGGTGACAATTTTAAATTGGGTTTTCTTTGGTTGAAAAAAATTTCAACACCAGAAAGCATGAGATTTTTTCAAATGTATTACTGTGTTGCAAGAGTGATTGCATTCAGTTAATACAATTTAATTGTTTTATTATTATTATTATTATATGACAAATACATCAACTCGATTTACCGTACATAATTTTTCATTCTTAAATAGCGTTTTTAAGAGTATCTCTTATAATTTATGACTTCCAGCAAGTAAATGCACACAATAATGTTCCAATTTAAAATCATTATTGATTACCTGCACAATAATGTTCCAATTTAAAATCATTATTGATTACCTGTTACTGTAAACTTTTTCAATTTGACAATGCTCATTTTACTCCACGATGCTTAATACAGTGATTCAAATTTAACATGAATATGTATTCATTGCTTTGTTGAAATGCTGATATAAATGTGAACGTGATTTTAACTGAATCACCGTCAAAACGGAACTTGGGGAGCTAATTTAATTTACGTGCTGGTTCTTACCAAGCATGCTGGTGCAAATGGTGACCGCGAAGCCGGAGCGAGGAGTGGGTTCTTTATCTGGGTGGAAAACGAGCCACCTCATGGTGGCACAGAAGTCATCTTTTCTCCGGATGGCCCCGTCGCCCTCGGTTTCCACCTCCTCCTGTTGAGCGGCCGTCTCATCGGTGGCGCTCTTGTCGGGCTTGTACCTTCACACCACAGATCAGTTTAGACCTGACGTCGGACTTCATTGGACCAGTAGTTCTCAAACTGGGGTCCCTGAGCCGTAACCTGGGGGTCCGCAAAATAGTTTACAGTTTTCCCCTGTTATGATCGCCGATTTTTATCATTCGGTTCTTGATGGGATTTTCCATTTTTTTGTACTGCCTATCAGAAGCGTCATGTAATTTTGTTTTTACTTCATACTCATGATATTTTTACTATGACAAAATATGTCGTTGTCCTTGTTAAGATTACAACTTTTTTTATGCAAAAAGTTTTTGGTCATAGCATTGCACATTTCTCCACAAAAAAAAAAAAAAAGATTTTGCCTTCGTAACACTCTGACTCGTTTTCATTCCGATGGCATCTGCTGAATTGCCGTCAAGATGATGCCCTCAGAAAAAAAAAAATCCCAAGTACCTCAAAAAGTTGCCGCACCCTTGCATTTGACGGACGTACCTGAGCACCAGCACGCACGCGGCGACCAGCGTGTAAGCCAGCAGAGCGCCGATGGACATGAGGTCCACCAGCTCCTTCAAGTTGAACAGCATGGCCATCAGGGCTGCAGCGGCACAACAACAACAACGCGTCAACCGCGCGAGTCAAGTTTGAACCTTCAAATTTCAAGTCACTGCGGCATAAACAAGAGCAAGTCCATTTGAGTCCCTACAAAATTTCTAATCAAGTCAAGTCAGTGTCAGGAATTCTTTAGCCTCGTCGGGAAAAAATGATCCACATAGAAATTTTCTCCCTGGTTCTTGAATGATAGGGGATGTTGCATCCAAATGAAATTCCAATACACTGAGCAAAAAAAAAAAAACTACGGTCAAGTAGAGCCTTGCGTCTATTTGCATTTCTGATTCACCTGCGACAACACCCGACATGACGGTTGCGATGACGGGCGTTTGGGTGCGACGGTTGATTCTGCTCAAACATTTGAATAACAGGCCATCTTCCGCCATGGCCCACATCACTCTGGGCATGGGGAACATGGCGCCCAGTAAACTACACGCGGACACAGCAAAAACCAGGATGTCAATACAAACACGATCTCTCTTTATTCGAATATGGATTTTGGAGGGGCGGG